TAGCACCATTAAAAGGAGGAAGAAAAGAATAATTTAAGACCTTTTGATTAGATAGATTCACTCTTAGTTACTCGCTTGCTCACGACAAAAACTTTTACACCTACACTTCCATTTCAAAACATTTTCAAAAAGACAAAACATTTTGTATACGTTCTTATAGAGACGAGAACCATTGCAAAACCACTTTTTGAAACACGATTCACAAACACATCTTTGAACCACTTTTCGAAACAAAATATTGTATACGTTCTTATAGAGACGAGAACCATTACAAAGAGATTTTTCAAAACACTTTCAAAGTCCACACCATAAGCACACTGTCAAATGAAAGCAAGTGATCTAAACGAGTAACTAAGAGCCCATGGAAAACCATGGATGAAAAGGATGCTAATACCTTCCCTTTTCATAATCTATCCCCCGAACCCGAGAAATAATCTCGAAAGGTCTTTCATGTGCTTTTTTACCTTTCCTTTTGGATAAAAGAAAAGTCGGTGGCGACTCTTGCTAACTGCACAAGTGCGATCGAAACGCAAAACATCAAGTCAGTTATCCCACCGTATTATAGTATCTAATTATCATTGGGTCCTTGGGATTAAGTGAAAATATGGTTTCTCTTGGGCAGTCATTGAAAAATGCCTTTAGGAACAAGAAAACATCTAAACTTGCATTTTTCAGTAATATGACCCATTTTGCAACAATAGTGACAAAGCAAACATTGATGAGATTTTCTTTTGCTATTTGAATCCTTCTTGATCAAACTATAATTTTTGTAAGGTTTTTCAACCTTTGAAGGATTAATAGAAAAGGTAACAATTGGTAGTGATTTCTTGTCCACTTTGGTTTCAAGAGTACTCACTTCTTGTTGCCAAATTTAACAAGTTTCACATCTGAATCGACATGGTTCCTCATCCCCATTTTTATGATTTTGACTATCTATAATAGATCACTTTAATGCTTCAAATTTCTTATCGATTTCTTCAAGCTTTGCTTCCAAGTATGTAAAAAAATTTCATTGGAAGCTAATTTCTTATAAGCATATAATGCATCTTTTTGTAGATTTTCAAAAGCATTTTTTAGTTTAATAAAAGACAACTTATCAACATTGGAGTATTTAGAATGACTTATATTATTTTTCTTGTTTTGACTTTGATTGGTCATGAAACAAAAATTTGCCTCCTCGTCGCTATCACTTGAGCTTTCCTTGCTTGAGACATCACTATCGCTATCCCAAGCAACATATTCTTTTCTAGCTTTCCTAGACTTGTTTTGTTGTCCCTTTCCTTTTTCATTTTCAAGAGATGGACATTCCGGCCTAAAATGATATGGTTTTCCACATTCATAGCATATACCTCTTGGTTTACCATTTTTGTTGTCTTCGTCTTTATGGGATGTGGATTCCCTTCTAAATTTAACAAGATTTTTGTCAGAGTGTTTAACACCATTATTCCAAATGTATCGATTGTATCTCCTCACAAACAATCTCATTTATTCATCATTCGAATCTTCTTCATCACAAGAATCACTATCATAAACGTGCTCACCTTTTGAGGACCTTGAACTCGAAGCCCTAGGAGCTTTAGACTTGGTTCCTTCCTACTTATTCATGTATTTATCCCTTTTCTTATTTTTCTCAATTTTCTTTTCATGTTTGTCCAAGAAAGTGAGTTCTTGCTCGTGTTCTTCCAACTTTCCAAATACAGTGGTGAGATCAAGTGTTGCAAGATTATTGGCTTCAGTGATTGTCGTGACCTTTGGTTGCAAATTCCTAGTAAGACATCTCAAAACCTTGTTAATAGCAATTACATTGGAAATAGGATTGCCTAGAAAGTTTAAACAATTAATAAGATTTGAGAACCGCTTTTGTATTTGAGAAATGGTTTCACCATGCTTCATGCGAAAGAGTTTAAATTCTTGATTAAGTGTGTTAATTCTAGCTTGTTTGACCTCATTAATTCCCTCATAGGTAACTTGTAGAGAACCCCATATAACCTTAGCGGTTTCAGAATGAGAAATGCGATAAAACTCATCAACTCTAAGAGCAGATATGATAATGTTTTTCACTTTACAATCGTGACCCAACTTCTTATAATATTCCTCATTCTATAGTGCTTCTGGATTAAATATGACAACACCATTAACAAGATATGTAACTAGTGTTGGATCATTTTGAATGGCCTCCCACACACCCTTGTCAAATAAGTTAACATGAATTTGCATACAAGCTTTCCAATAACTATAGTTTTCTCCCGTGAAGATTGAGGCTCTTTTATAACCCTCTTTAGGTTCGTATGCCATTTTCTAATAAGAGTTTCGAAGCAGGAACTAACCACGCTCTTGATTCCACTTGTTAGACGATGATGACTTATCTAGAGGAGGGATGAATAGATAACCAAGCCAAAATTACCAATACAAAATTTGGTAGTTTAAAAACTATTTGAAAAGAGTGCAAGGGGAAGATTTTAATATATATCGATAAAAGTCATTTATATAAACCTAGTTATTGGAACTCGGATATACAAAAGGCCTTACGGAATAAAAGAGTCAATAAGAGAAATTAATACATTTAACACAATCAACAATTTATTACTCGTTTATAATAATTCACTAGCAATCTATTTCAATTGTAATTGAGAAAAAAATAAAGAACAATGCAATTTGTCAAACACGGAGGGTGCGAACAAATTTTCAGAATTTTTCCTTGAGTTTTGTTAATACGAAAAATCACTTATAACCAAAGTGATTATAAGCTAATCAAAAAACAATTTAAATCAAAACAATCATAGAAAAATTCTTACGAGTCAATTGATTAAATAATGAAATTCAATAAATTGCATAATGAAAATAAAAGTGGGTAAAGAGATAATAGAGAGCAACACAAGGATATGTTACAACAGTTCACCACACTGTCCTCGCTAGTGGCTATGTCTACTCCCAATTTCAATTGAAATTCTAAAGTCAATTCTTACTTTGCAAAAAGTTATTACAAGAGAAGTGTTCCAAGAGCAACTCCATAAACCCTAATCATTTGTTGTTTATTCAACCCATTCTCTTCCTTCGATCTTGAGCAAGATCAAGACACAATAACTACTAATTAATTTATCGAATCTTGTTACTCCTTTAGGTACCAAATTCCAAATCTCTTTCGCTCACGATCAATTGTAACTATTGAACAGGAGGACTTTCAATTTGATTCGCCATTCTCTGTCTACTTCTTAGTGTACCAAACTCCAAAGCTCTTTCACTTGGCCGCAATCCTCTTTTAAAAGTCTTGTACAAAACCCCCAAATCTACCAAAGATCTTAAAGGACAAACCTTAGGTTTTTTCGGATGAAACCCCCACAATTATCAACCCAATATTTTTTTATTACACAAAAACCTAATTGAACGTTATCAAACCTCACCAAGATGGCACCCTGCAAAAGATGATTATGTGTGATTTATTAGTGTGTATGCATTGGTTGGAGGTTAAAGGTGAAGAGCAATGGTGGTAAGTGTTTATAGTTTCATCAAGTTAGAATGATGCATGAATGATGTATTTATAGTTGTGGAAATTTGTATTCAAAGAGGTAATTTTCATAATTAAAACAATTTGAAAAGTTGACCCAAATAAGCAGTATGTGTTGGCCTGAAATACGGATGTGCTAGCACATACGGCTAAAAAAATAGTATGTGTCTGTCTGAAAAGGCTTACGTGCATGCCTATGCGAAACAGAGGCTACAACCTTTAATATTGAACCAGGCGTGTCGACTTGAAAATCGTATGTGCTGGCACATTAAACTGAAACTTATAGTATGTGCCGGTATAAAAACTGCATGTGTCGGCATGTACCAAACAAAAACTACAAGCTTCATTATTGAGTTACATGTGTTGGCCTGAAAATTGTATGTGCCGACACATGTAGGTTATTTTTGTGCAGAAAATGAATTTTGATGTTTTTGGCCTATTTCAAGGTGGTTTTGAATGATTCCTAAGACCTCTAATGCAAGAGGCATCATATGACATAGCAATACCATCCAATATATATAAATGCTAAGTTTTCCTAGTTTTGACATCATATAAAATATCTAATGGTGAAGTTGCACTCACATATATTACTGTAGTGATTATTGGTGACCCAATTTTGTTGATTGAGATCTTCCAAAGAAGAAACATGGGGGGCTCAAATCAGTGTTATAGTTTGGAGATTTTGTGATAAATACTACCTAAGATGAGAGGGTACCAAATTCATGAGCAACGTGATGAATAATGGTTAACTTTTCGAGTTCAATTCATGACTTTGTTGTTGTAGAAGTTGGCAATGAATCATGTTGTTGAATGTTTGTCATTAAATTTTCATATGCTTCAGTGAATCGAAAATCCTTTTTGACACCAAATGTGTATTAATGACAGGTGAGTTGGCATTCTCCACTTGATCAACCAACAACTTAAAACAATTGCAATAAGTTTTTGGGGAGGGAAAATCTTCTAAGTCAATATTGTTGAATGAAATCTCTAGTTGGTTAGCTCCTGAGTGTTTAGAGTCAAGGAACATATTCACAATATCAGTTCAAACATTGTTTGATATAGTGGCATAAATGCAGTGCAACACGACAACATGGAGATCAGATATCTAAAGATTTTAGGTTAATATGTGATTTAAAAAAAAATAACTTTATGTAATAAAATTTTATTAATATAAATTATTAAAAATAAATTAGTCATAATTTTACAAAGATGGACCTTATAGAAAGAAATGTAAAATAATATAAAAAGTCAAAGATCCCAAATAAATTTAATAGATAATGGTTGCAATCAATATTCCTTTTCATTTTGAAAAAGGAAAACACGCTTCTAATACGAAACTAGAAAACTCGTCACAGCACACATTTTAAAAGCAGATCTCAAAAGTTCTTCTATATAATATTACTTTCTTTCAATTCCTCTCAACATCTTCCACTTTCAACAATTCTTCAATAAACCATAAAAAAGTGTATAAATATATTTCCCAAAGAAGAAAATAATGAATAACGAAGAGTTAGTTATTCAAGACGAGTACGTGTACAAAGAAGAGACACGACTCACAGTTATGAAAACCTCTAGATTCTTCAATGGTGATGGGTTTGTCGTGTATGATTGTAAGGGACAACTCGTTTTCCGATTCGACTCGTATGGACCTAACACTCGTGATAAGGAAGAGCTTGTTCTTATGAATCCTCACGGTCGTTCTCTTCTCACCTTGCGCCGAAAGGTATGTTATATATGTATCAACAGTTAAAACCATTCTTTTTTCTTATGCACTTGCATTTTCATCTGTTTCTGAGTTCACTCACTGAGTCTACTCATCGACTCATATTTCGTAGGTTGAAAAGTCTGTCTGAAAATTTATTGAATGTCTTTGTCTCAATTAACGCAACCAATCAAGTTGTTTACAGATGAAGTCGGTTGAAATTTAGAGTTGAATTTTCATACCCTACATAAACAGTGCATATTAATTAGACGAGTGTACGTGAATAAAAGAGTTTTTTTTACAGAAATATTGAAAAAAATTATAAATATGAATATTATAGAAAAATCTCGTATTAATTAAGAACGTACAAATTTGAGTATTTATAAGTGATTAACTATATATTTATTAGTTTAAAATTTTGAATGACTATGTGATATATCTCTTAAAAAAAATGTTTTTGTTAAAAACAAAAACTCTAATATTAAAATGCTTTCTCATGTTATCCCTCTAAATTATTCCAACAATTTTTTAATTTTTGGTAGGTTAAAAATAAGTTGAATCGAGTCAACATTTATTTATTTTTTATGTATATATAATATTTTAAATTATCATTTAAACAAATACCATCAAATTCAGAGATAGAGATTTTAAATTAAAATTAAAAAAATGTTTTTGAAACTAAGGTTTTATTTATGTTTTTTGAAAAAAAAATGAAAATAATTATTTATATAATCTTTTTTATAATTTAATTTAATTTGTATAATTCTTTTTAGAATTATTTTACTCACTTCCAATTATATATAATCAAAAAAATATTAGATTAAAAAAATGAAAAGCTAACATTTATATATATATATATATATATATATATATATATATATATATATATATATATATATATATATATATATATATATATATATATATATATATATATATATATATATATATATATATATATATATATATATATATATATATATATATATATATATATATATATATATATATATATATATATATATATATATATATATATATATATATATATATATATATATATATATATATATATATATATATAATCTTACTTCTTAAAAGGTAAGAAGATTATAAGTACTTTTATTTTAATCTTTTATTAAGAAAAATTGCAAGTATTTTTGTTTTAACTTGAATTGTTTATTTATCAGAAAATAAGTCTACATAGACGATGGGAAGGTTTTAAAGATGACAAAAAGGAAGGAGATAAGGCAATTTTCGATGTAAGGAGATCGTCAATAATCGGACGATCACAAACAAATGTAATAGTGGAGGTACATGATAACCCAAGTATGTTGTACCTCATTGAAGGGTGTTTCTCTCAAAGATCTTGTAAGATTTTCAACACCAGAAAGAAGTTAGTGGCTGAGATTCGTCGCAAGGTGGACCCTGCCACTAGTGTTATGCTTGGAAAAGAAGTCTTTGTGCTTTGTGTTCAACCTAATTTTGATGTTTCTTTTATTATGGGATTGATTTTGGTTCTTGATCGAATCAATGGTGAGAGTCTCTTTGATAATGAAACTATTGAGACTTCGGTGCACCCTACTTCAGAGGATTAAGGAATTGTTATTCTTTTGTTCTATTTAAAAAAATTAATAAAGAAATTTTTTACTAAAAATGTTAAAATTATTCTAGTTACACTCTTTTGAAATTTTCAATTGAATGATATGGATCGAAAGAGATTCTCTTTATGTGGTATAATCTTTCTCCAATCATAATTTAATGTTTTAACGATTAAGAAACAGATGAGTATAAACTTTTTTAATGTGGTATAAACTCTTTTCCAGAGAACGAGAACTACTTATATACTAAGTACATTAGTAATTGTCAACAACTATTATTCCCTTTTAATTCGACTCGTACACTATTATATGGGCTTATGTCCTATGTTTTTCTTCAACATATCTTCAATTTTTGAACTTCCTCAAAACTGATATCACACTTGAAACTGTATTCACATTCTATATCTGCCTCTATCGAGAATTCTCTTGTCGAATCTTATGGTTTGGTGTCGAAAGATATACTTTAACTACATGTATTTAACACTTATATCTACCTCAAATCCATATTACTAGTCGAATCAACCTGAGTCAAAAATCATAGGCTAATAGTGTTGGGAAAAATAAACGATAGAGAAAAAGAGAAACAAAATAACAACAATAACAACACAAAGACATAACGTGGAAACTCCAAAACCATAGAAAAAACCATGATCGTTGTCAATAGACAACCAGAGAATAACACTATGTGAAAATTGTTACAACACATAATATACCTTCAAGTAACCCAAGCTCGCTAATACACCCACACCCTCCAAAACAAATATTTAACTACATCTCACAACACTCTAATACAAGAGCATTAGAGAACAAAGAAAGTCAAATATAAAAACTTGAATCCTATATATAGTCTTAGACTTCCTTTTCCTTTACAAAAATAAGCAATGTGGGACTTCTTCAACATGTATATATTCAACCAACCCCAACAATCTCCACTTTGATTGAAAATAATACATAAGTTTCAATTGTCTTCACCGACAACCATACTTCATCATAAAGAGTATAGCCACTTGAAGCTACACCACTCCAAAAAATTTCACCTTGTCTTCACCGAAAATCATAGTTTTAAAAACTATCATACTCCACCTAAAGAAAAGTATAATTTACTTGAAGCTAAACTACTTCAAGAATTTTCACATGCTGAAAATCAGGTTAAAATTTTATGGTGAGACTTCCATATTGGTAGGAAGCTCTTCAACCACGGATATAATCTTGCACCTTGTGTAATCTTGATTTTGTCAACACATCTTTGACTAGGGGTGTTCGCGGGCCGATTTGGTTCGGTTTTGAGAGAATCCGATATCCAAACCGATAAAAAAATATGTGGATTGGTTTGTATTGGATTTTCGTTTATTTTTGATAAAATCCAAACCGAACCAAACCAAGAAATAACGGGGTGGTTTGGGTTGGATTGATTGGATACATTAGAAACAAATATCCATAAATATTTTAAAAAATATATCTAATTTACATTAGCTAATTTTCTATTATAATATGATTTTTTTAATGTTTTTGTTTCTCCATATAGGTTGTGAATGTCACAAATGGTGTTTCATTTTTTTTTCTTTTTAAAGTTGAATATCTTATACTAGTTTCTATAATAATTATATAAATTATATGAACTAATATGGTTGGTTTGGGTAGACGGGTTCGCGGGTAGAATTCTTAAAATCCATTGTCCGAACCAATTAACATCGGGTTTTATTGGTTTGGTTTGGTTTTTTCTCGAACTAAAAAAATATCCTATCCAAATTCCTTGGTTTGGTTTTGATTCCGATTTGGTTCGCATTTTCCCAAACCAATGAACACCGCTATCTTTGACTCAAAATTTCCACAAGTCAAAAACAACTCTTAACTTGACATGCCGTAATTGTATGACAATTGTCAATGTTAAAAAAGAGTTGTCAAACTACAATGACCAATGGATAAGCACCGATTTCTATTGTATAGGTATAAATCTAGAGCAATCGAAAAGTTTAGGAGAAACAAACTTAAGTGAAAAAGCACTAAAGTCAAAATAACTTATTTTCAAAAGCACTTTTGAAAATAGCTTAATAAAAAATAACTTGAAAATTAATAAAACAAATAAGACTTTAGGGTCATGATTACTATCTACGACTTCTCCATAGGACTTAAGAATTTATATTACGAGAATTTCGATAGAAATTTAATAGAAAAATATAATGTTGTGGGCAATTCCTGCTTTTGTCAGCGAATTGCACTACCTCTGACGAACGAGACGCTCGTCGGCTTTCGCTCGTGTAAAAACGTTCGTCGGTGATCATTGTTTTTCACAAATATTTAAATGGGATAATTTCTCAATCTCCTCTGATCACTTTCGTGACTTCGGAATTGATCGTTTAAAAACTATTTTCAGGTTTTTATGCTTATCCTTTCAGATTAAAATAAAAACCTAAAAACATACTTACTTTCATAGAGAGGTTTGAATAAATACTAGGTTTTTAAAATAGTCAAATGCTGAAATCCTCATAACTAACTTAAGCTAATTCCTACGGATAATCATTGATAGGGTTCATGACCCTTAGTCGTTATGGAACTACTCACTCATGGTGAGAAAGCAATAAATCAAATAAATCATAACAATAGCATACATGATTTAATAAATTATAAAGAAAGAGACAATAGAATAAAATCCTGATAAAATAAAATACTTGAATAAATCTTGATCCAATTGCTCAAATAGAGACTTGTACAGAGGAATGTAAAAGTTGAAAAATTATAAGAGAGATGACTCATTTACCTAACACCTTAAGGTTTTGGGTTGAGATATGGTGTCTCCGTCTCTTGTGGTCCTAGAGCATTGGTCTCATTGGTGCTCCCGATTCTCCTGGACTCCCCAACAAATAGATGTCCACCGAAAAAATGTTATTTTCGATCTTATTTTTAATATGGAAGACATATGGCATTTTTAGTAACTCATAATGCTATTCAAAACATCTTGCATACGTCATCACCATCATGACCACTACCACCTAGTTTACCACCTAGTTGTAACATTAGTTTACATGAGTGTATCCACCTTCATGGTTCCAACTTACAATATCATTGTGGGTCACAAGAATTAACCGCATTAAAATATAAATAAAATTATTATATAATAATTTTCAAACAAAAATCAAAACACCACTTATTTTTATTTTAGAGAGAAACTAAAGAGTCTTTTTCCACAAATATATATATATATTATATATATATATATATATATATATATATATATATATATATATATATATATATATTCCTCTTCTCCTTTTTTCCTTTTCATAATTTTTTCTTATCGGAACTCTAAGAACTTTCATACCCTGCAACCTTCTATTCTCACATTTTCTTCTAACTCAGGTTAAAAACAACAGCTTCCTCCGCTAGCACGGTCAAGCAAACTCATGTTTCTTCTGCTATTGATATTCAAGGACCCATCCTCATTAACAACTGTGGCTACATTCCAAAACCTCCAATGGAGATAAAACTTCTATTTAGGCTTCCTAGCTATTGATCCCTTTTTCTCTTAGAGGTAACATTCATGCGTTTCTGGGTACTTTACCGAAATCATCTATGAAATCAACCAAACTGGAAAGTTTTTTCCTCTTTCACCATCATGAAAACCTCGTGTGTTCGAAAATAAAAGTTTTAAGTTGGGCTTCATAGAAATTCCCAATCGTATGTTTCATTCTTATCCTTCCACCAACTATATTTTTACGTCAGTTGATTGCATAAAATAAAAATGAAGAAAGAACAAACCTGGAAAGATCAAGGTATTTTTTACTTGATTCAACTATCAAAAATGTGACCCAAGTATTACCCTATTGTGCTTATATCAACCATTTTCTTTGGGAGTCTTCGACTAATACTTGTCATTTACCATGTGGGATGGTCACTTCCACTCTTTTTGATATTGTCGTTATTACTAGTCTTCGACCAACTAGAAAAACTTTCAAACTCACTCTTAAGAACCAAATCAAAACCAATTTTACTTTAACCATCCCAACTTCAGTAACTATAACCATATTTTACTCAACTTCATGAGAAAAGAAACGCCTATCTTTGCAAAATAATCCTCGACTTCCTTTATGAGTCTCTAGAAATTTCTTCTCATGACCTCAAAGTAAGAACAAGCCATGAGGAGAACTTCATGGTATCTGGCCCAATCTGGCTTTTACATCTTTGGATTAATGCCACTTTTGAACCCTTTCTTAACACTAGTGTTTCGTCTAATTTGGAAAGACAAGTCAAATGTACAAGGCTCGATTCGCTGACTCTAGATGACAGTTAGTCTTCGACTAAAAAGGCCTTTAAAAAGTATTTATTCATGCTTATGCACTATATTGATTTCTTCTCTAGCATGGAACCATTTTCCAATCGAAGCTATGTGCCAGAGTGGTTCAAAAGACCATTTCTAGCCCATTCACATGTAAGTCAAATTGAAGCTCTCAATATTTGGATGGAATTCTTCAAACATATTGTCTTCTTGACAAGAATTTCAATTGTAAAAGCTGGTTTTGGGCATTGTCGCATACCAACCAAATTTGGTAACCAGACGACTTCAGTCAATTTCTTCTGAAATCCATTTTCACCAAAGAGGATGAAATATATATGGCTACTGATACGCCAATTGATCCATATTATAAGGAGTGTTTAGACTTTCACGCTAAAAAAATCATTAATTTGAATCCTTTCGAATTTGAAACTTCCTTTCATTGCGCCAAGGAATTTGAAGATTGGTGGTCTGCCTATTATTGAAGTTTTCCACAAGAGATTGAGTGTTATGTAAGGTATCCTTCCCCTCACTTGATGAAATTATTGTCACCCTCACCGTAGGTGTTTTGCCTTTGTCACCAATGATATTCCATACTACTAAACTGCATTCAAGAAATGATATTTGCACATGTAGTTGTGAACCAGGATAAAAATAATTGTGTTCATTTATTTTTGTTCTTGTTTATCTTTGTTTGTTTGGGAAGAAAAGTTTCAAATCTAGAAAC